AGACTTTGGTTTTACAGGCATTAATTACAACTAATTTGGTTTTAAAAACGCTAAAAATAAAACAGCAAAAGCTTTAAACAATAATATTTTGAATCCATCCGTTTTCGGGTCCTGAAAAAGACTGGTAGACATCGAGAGCTCAAACGAGGTTTGAGATAAAGTAGGTTTGGGAGGAATATTATGTCGCTTAAAGACAGGACATCCAATACTGGCTGACATACATGTATATCTGTGTGCCTAACAATTGCCCATTTTATCACTTCGTCTCCATATAAGGTAATACTATGTCCATGGAAAATATTTGGCTTAACTTAAACTTGAAAAGCTTAAGTTAATTTTGTCCATCGAAAGATACTTAACTTTAACTTTGACATGCAAAATAGTATACACAGACATATATGATACCTCTAATATATCTATTTACGATATTTTGTACGGCATTTATTTAGTCTCTATCCAGTTAAGCCACATGCGCTGTTTGGTTTACTATGTAAGTTAAGTTAAAGTCTCGTCCACGAAAGGAAACTTACTCTTAAAGTCGGGGCAAAATTCTAACTTTTAAAGTAAAGTTAAAGTCTAGTCCATGCAAAGTATTTTGCCAAAATTTAATCCAAAGTTAAGTTTTCTGACTTTCCATGGATTGACTATAAGTCTCGGTTCTGAAACAAAAACAAATTCATAACTGATTGCAGATATTGAGAGAAAGAGTAATAATTTATTACTAATAATAATCAAAATTCAATTTATATGTCAAACATTGAGCCCTGACTGCTAAGCAAATCAAGAGTTTCAGCAAAAAACATCATAAATTGAAATTAATTGTGTGCTGACCCACACATACACAGCATATGCCATAATATTATGAATTAATAGCACAGGAAAACACACTTTTAAAGCAAATCAAATAGAAATTTTTGTATATTGAATGATTATTTACTAATCCATCTATATTACTATTCTCTCTCTCTCTCTCTCTCTCTCTCTCTCTCTCTCTTTCAATGTTTGTTCATCGGTATTGCACTTCCCGTTAGTCCATACAGTAGTTGTGCCTTAAGTATAAGGCTGTGTATTATTATTATTAGTATTATTTCATTATTGTCGTTATATATTATTTAATATAATCTAATAGATAGCAAAGGTTAAGATAGAGAGATGTACTCAACATAACGACTGCGATCAGTGTTTGGAGGCCAGGAATCCGTACTGCGGCTGGTGTTCACTCGAGAAAAGGTTTGCCATATCAACCCAACCCCACACACATATCCACATATCTACTATACACTAACTTAACTATTCGTACAGTGAATTGTGTGCTAAAATAGATGCATTCATAATAAATCAAATTAGATCTGAGCCCTCACTCACTCACTCTTCTCCTCTTTCTCTGCCCGCTATCTCTGCTCTTCTCTGAGACCTCTCATACTCTGAAATATAAGTCCCACTCTTATGTCATCCGATAAATAAATATTATTTATTTTACGTCTTCGGTGGCCATCATATCATCAAACAAACAATACTGGACTCGAGTGTTGACTATATATTCAATGAATTATTTGTCGAAAATATCAATAATTCTGTTCGTATTCTTTCCGCTATTCACTCTCTTCTTTGCCGTAATTATCGATATTTGTGCCGCACTTTTAGCGTTCAGATATTTTTTTGGTTTTTGAAATTTAATTATTTTAAATGATCTCATAATACGTGAACACATTTGGACTCAATTTTCACGCCATTTATTTCATCAGAAAATTAAATCCAATTATAAACCCTTTTTGCATATATTGCGAGACACAGAGATTTGTCTAATCAATAATTGGAGAAAAACTTTTCCTCTCTCTCTCTCTCTCTCTCTCTCTCAAAACTTTTCAAATACACGATAAGTTGTTCGTTATTAGCGACTATTTTATTCACCGCTCATTTGCAGACTTATTGGGCATTTGAAGTGAGAAAATATACATGTATACCGATAAATGTATACCGGTATAGAGTATACTCTACTTCTATATCTAATTAGACTAAAACGCTTTACCGTTGTCTGAGTGAGCAATAAAAATAGCACTTTTCAATTGTGTTATTCTCTCGGCTAATAAAGAGTTAAACCCATTGAAAGAGAGGGAGAAATGGGTGTAATATTGGTTGTGAACACGGAATCGGATACTGTTAGAGAGAAAAGGGATGGGTATGTGATGTAATGTTTGGGCGATTATATACATGGGAATGACCCGCGAGAACAACAGTTTATTAGCCATTGTATGCGAGACATGCATTTTATGCACGACTTGGCCCATAGAATAAGGCACTAGTATTTTAGCTAAATTGCAAAAATTGCCGATATATGCCATACATATATACATACTATTCCCATATAATGTACAACCCATTCATACACTCATTTATTCAGAACAATATACAAGAATATAATATATATAATATTGTATTTTACAAATGCCATGATATAAACGACAGTGTATTATACTCTGCAATAATAATACTTTGGCATTACATTAAAGAAATGGTTAGCTTTCACTTCAACAACATATTATTAGCGTTAGTGTCGGCTCTAAGAGAATAGAGTGGAGAATATATTGTATATTCTGTTATATATATGTTAAACATTAAATTTTGAATCAATTTTTTAATAAAAGCCTTTTGGCGGCGACAGTGAAGGCTAATGCATGGCTTACAGTCCACTTGTATATCATAATACATGTGACACAATGAAAGGGCGGGTTTGGCCTGTCTTTCAATCAAGTTTATGCTGTTGTAAATTCTGTACTTTTCTCGTGTGGATGTATTGCACCGCCGATGAGTTGCCATTGCATCCACTGCCAGAGCGGAGACCCTTTTAAAGTAATTTGCTTTTCGCTCAAATAGACACCAAACAGAATATGAGAGCTTTTGCAACGCGTCTACAGAATATAACGAGACGTGTACTGTATATACTGTATGCATAACATACAGTGTGAGAGCACCGGTACTCACTTCCCCGTATTGTCTATGTCTGTCATTTAGTCTCACTCCCGATGTCATTCACTTTTGATTCCCGATCCCCTCCACACAACACCCCCTCCTCCCCCTCTCCGTGTACTTCATAGCCGCGCAAACACTCAGATCTAATTTATTCTTGCGATACAATTATGTGTCGAAAATCACATAATTATCTTTCATGTTATTGTCGTCTATTCACTGCCATTATCTTTGCCTAACATTCTTGTGTCCAATTTTGTATACAGTAAAGACCGAGTGTCACAACGCGACCAATTGGGGAGTTTCTCAACGGATTATCAGTCGGCTATCGTTAGAGACAAAACCATGTATTGACTTTTAGGCCATAAAACCAGAATTCATGAATGGGTTGTGTATTCTTCCATCAATTCTCTCTCTCTCTCTCTCTCTCTCTCTCTCCAATATATAACGTATTCTACAGATTATATTTGCAGATAATGTCGTCTCAATATTTTTAAAACCCATAGATATATAGCCATCCATAGAATTACGTAAACATAAATCAATTTAAAGTGCATTTGTTTGTATTAAAGTGTTGCGCAAACATTGCAAATACATTACTGTTAACAATAACAACAGCAACAAAATACTTGTTAGATATAAGACATGCACTTTTCTGTAAAGATTGAGAACAACACAAAAAATAGTTTAAACTTTTTTATATCAAAAACATTTTTACTCTTTATTTTCATAGTTAAACACATTGTTGTGTAAGTCGTTTGGAAATTACTTTCTTTGTGTTGCTTTTTATGCATCAATTATGTTATGAATATATCGATTGATATCTGCATTGTTTTACTCTCATATCATATCCATAGATATGGATAACAATGCTTTCTCTCGCCGTTTATTACATTAAAGATATATTTAGTTATGAGTTTCCGAGCAATGAGTGTAAGAGCGTAGACATGGAAGACAGGGAAGACATTCTTCACCAATTGGTGTCTTCATATGATAATCAATTATATTATATTTGAAACCTTAGACAACAAAACAGTATCTTCTTTCCAATTACTGTCAGAACAAAGTTTTTTCATTATTATTGAAATTTTATTCCAAAAGCTATTCAATTGATTATCAATTAATTATAGCGAAAGAATAGTTTAAGGAAAACAAATACAAGAATTTACTTAAAGGGAGAGATATATTGTATTGTATGTAAGAAATTAAATCTCTTAATTATATTCAACTGAATACATGGATTTTAGTCTCTCTCTCTCTCTCTCTCTCTCTCTCTCTCTCTCTCAGCCGCTATTCAATTAGACAGTTGTACCCAAACGATGCAAACCCTAAACAATTAAAACACAGCATAACAAGAATGTAAATCAGTTTTAAATACAAAAACACACAGAGAGGGGAGTCTTAGACAACAAAGTCATCAATAAAAACCGTTTTCATTCATTTGTGTTTCTACTCAAAGCCCCAGACATTGGTTACAAAGCCATCAAATCAATTAAAATTTTTTATTTAATTTCTATTATAATTAGATTTTCATAAACAATATTTTGTTTGCTTTTTCTCACAGTTAAAAATATAAAATATACAATAATTTTTGTTACATTGAAAAAATATTTAACAAATGATTGTATTTTTTAAACATTTGAAACAAAAAAAACCTTTATAAATCTTTAATAGTATAAAAGACATGAATTTTTGATTGCATTACAATAGGAAACAATGTTTTTTCTCTGATGTTTAGCATTATTCTACAAAAATATAATTCATACATCGATTAGAGTCATACATGCAATCAATCTCCGGCTGGAAATCAAATTATATCATTTTTATCGTTAAAAAGTGATTAATAATACGGCGAATGGCTTTAGTTTTTGCCCAAATAATTACATTTCTATGTATCGCAAACACAACACACAAAGTGGTCTCCCATTGACTAAACGCTACGCAAAGAAATATCATTAGATTGTTATGTGTCTGTCTATCGGTAACCATAGTCTTAAACACCACGTATAGCCCCTCTCCGTGTTATATAATGTATGTGCCGGTGATTTATGGGATGATGTGATTTTTCAGGTCGAGCTACTTATCTATCAATTGCCTCGAACTGACATTTGGGGGCTTCTTATGCGTGTTTGGCAACAGCTCTCCCATTCCCGGCCGCGTATCCCATAGTGGCTGTCATGTATGGCACTGTCGGACGCGTCCCGACTGCCCATCCCTTCCGGCAAAAGGTATGTCGAATCGAAACTTTTTTCGACAGTAAAATTGTTTTAATCAATATAATTGATTAAATGAATTAAACACTAAAAATATATTTAATTTTGATTATATCGTACATATTATGCTCACACATAACATAGGAAGTAGTGTATTATATACACACTGTCTCAATAATGACAGTCGTATATATAATAATGTTTTTGAACAACAATTGCATATAAATTGCACAGAACTGGACTAATAGTAAAACTCATAAATTGTGTGCACATTATATCAGATCACGTCGTCGTAAATCTGGCCGTAAGGAGCAGTCAAACCGATACTGATTTCATCGGCCCTTCATTTATATTCTACGATTGCAGTCCTCATAAAATGTAAGTATCTCACTGTCCACTCTCTCCCACACCCAACCACCCTATGTCCATCTCTCCCATTCCCGGCCGCGTATCCCATAGTGGCTGTCATGTATGGCACTGTCGGACGCGTCCCGACTGCCCATCCCTTCCGGCAAAAGGTATGAAAAAAATGACTTATAATTCGGTGGGCTTTGAGACGAAGACATTACACAATCTTCGGTGGCCATCATATCATCAAACAAACAATACTGGACTCGAGTGTTGACTATATATTCAATGAATTATTTGTCGAAAATATCAATAATTCTGTTCGTATTCTTTCCGCTATTCACTCTCTTCTGTGCCGTAATTATCGACATTTGTGCCGCACTTTTAGCGTTCAGATATTTTTTTGGTTTTTGAAATTTAATTATTTTAAATGATATCGTAATACGTGAACACATTTGGGCTCAATTTTCACGCCATTTATTTCATCAGAAAATTAAATCCAATTATAAACCCTTTTAGCATATATTGCGAGACATAGAGATTTGTCTAATCAATAATTGGAGAAAAACTTTTCCTCTCTCTCTCTCTCTCTCTCTCTCTCTCTCTTAAAACTTTTAAAATACACGATAAGTTGTTCGTTATTAGCGACTATTTTATTCACCGCTCATTTGCAGACTTATTGGGCATTTGAAGTGAGAAAATATATACCGGTATAGAGTATACACTACTTCTATATCTAATTAGACTAAAACGCTTTACCGTTGTCTGAATGAGCAATAAAAATAGCACTTTTCAATAGTGTTATTCTCTCGGCTAATAAAGAGTTAAAACCATTGAAAGAGAGGGAGAAATGGGTGTAATATTGGTTGTGAACACGGAATCGGATACTGTTAGAGAGAAAAGGGATGGGTATGTGATGTAATGTTTGGGCGATTATATACATGGGAATGACCCGCG